GTTCGGGAACAGGTGAACTCCACGGGAACCAAGAGGGGCGCTTCCTGTGCCGAGAAGCCTCACAGCTTTCCTTCTCCGGGGTGCACAGCAGCAGCCCACGAGTAGGGAACCTACAGATTAGCTGTGGCAGGAAGGTTGGGCATAGGACCCTGACATCAACCCTGGTTCCTGGAGCCAGCGCAGCCCCATGTTGACTCTGAGTGGTCCGGTGGGGCCGAGCCATCCAGAGGTGGAGCCTTCTTTCCTTCATTAGTAAAGCAAATATAAGACACTGATCCGGTTTTCTCTGTTACATAGAAGCCATGCAGTGAGACACAGGAGGTTCAAAATCCAAAAGACCTGGGTTTGAATCCAAGCTCTCCCACTTTCTTACTAAGGGGGTGATCTGAGAGAGCTGCATGATCTTTTAAGGCCACTGCTTCCTCCTCAGTTAGTGGGGCTGTTAAAATCTCTTACAGCCTCAGGGGATGATGGGAGAGGGCTCCTGGAAAACAGAGCAAACCTTACTTAGACTCAACAGGTGTCCAGTAAATAATACCTCAGCATTGCCGTGTAAATATTTTACAGACCTAGACTATAAAAGCATGCCAAGTTACTAAAGACACAGAATCTTGGAAAAACTCATTTCAAAATGCACATAAGTAAGTTTATCTGTAACTTTTCCAAGATAGCTTTTTCTTCAATCTGTAGATATTATAATTAACTTTACAAGATCCTAAAAGATAAATAAATGATTCTGATGCTGAAGTAATAAAAGGGGGTGAAGGGAAGGGGGAAAAAAGAACTGAAATATGCTCTGTACATGCACCAGTTCCCTACAGTGAATGTAATAATTATGTACTGCAAACATGGACTGATAAAATTTAAAAACAGGTAAAAATTATTCTTTAAAATTTTAGCTACTAAAATGTTTAATGCACATTATGCTATAACTTTAATGTTTACTTCTGGCTTGAACATAGGAGTATAAAAAACGTGCTTCTGGGCTGAGGATTTAGCTCAGTGGTTCCGGCGCCTGCCTCGCAGGTGCAAGGTCCCAAGTTCAATCCCGAGTACCAAAAAAGAAAAAAAAAGTGATTCTGTCCCTCAGGTTGTATTTTTGTAAGCACGTACATATAGATGCTTCCGTTTTAGGGCATCCCTGACTTTCATTCTGAGGCTCTGGACTGAGGAAGCAGAAAACTCACCTCAAACTGAAGCCGCATCCGGGACAAGGACACAGCAACACCCATGTGTGTTTCTGGGCCACTGGTCACCAGGGGTCCCCGCTAGAGGGACCCACATTCCGCACAGACAGCCTCTACCAGAGGAAGAAGGGGACCACCACACAAATGGGCGTGGTGACGCGTTAGGTGGACGTGGACGGCAGTGTGAGAAGTAGCCACTTGGTTTGTGAACCAAGAAGCTGACTGGGCTCGGGGAAAAAGCTCTGTGTCTCTGTTGGTAAATGCCAGACAAAGCAGAGTAGGGCTGAATTATAAGGAAATAAATTAAAAATAAGAACTTGCTGAGAAGTGTTTTTGTAGAAGAGTACAAACCATGGGAAAGAAAAGTTATCTGAAACCTGGCTAACCTCTGAGCATGCCCTTTTTCACCACAAGCTTACAAAGCATGGCATGGGGCTTTTCAGCCTTTGCCTCGCATTAGGTCAGTTAACAACTTCCAGATTCTACCGATGGCATTTGAAGCTGAAATTTAAAAGCATCTGCGCAGGAACACCTGTCATCTAAACTTGTGAAGACTTGTCCAACTTCTCGACAGAGTCTTAGGAAAACCACAAGACTCCACCTGCACTCTGTAAGTCCCGTCATTTTAATGTTTTAAGTCCTAAAAAGTACTCAGATCGCACGTAATTGTGAACACGGCACCAATTCACAATATTTGCAATACTCCGTAATTACACAAAATTTGTATTTAGTCTGTCTCCAAACCCATGACCTTTCCTGAATACACGTGTCTCTGAAATGTTGAGTAATTGTGCCGTAGAAAGCAAGTCATCATTCTTAATTAAGCTTCAAATGCAATGGTTCCCACAGCTGCACACACGTGTGCACTAACCTAACTAACTGCTAGGAGCACCTGCTCCAAGTCAGCAATATTTCACAGAGCACAGGGCAAGAATGGCAGCTCTGAGTGTTCATCTGCTGAAGGGAAATCCATACTCCTTTCAACAGTGGATGACACATAGGCTTTTGTGCTGCATAGGAGGCTGGTATACAAAAATGTGGGCAATTTGGAGCTTCCCCACTTGAAAATAAAGCTGTCTTTTCCATCTAAAATCAGTTATGGTCTTCCATATTATGACTGAGCACTTTTTCACTGAGAAATATCAGGGGTTTCCAACATTTATTTATTTATTTGTTTGTTTATTTTATTTATTTATTTATTTAATTTTTTTGGTACCGAGGATCAAACTCAGGACCTGGCACTTCCAGGTTGGCACTGTGCTGCTGAGCCACATCCTGGCCCCCAACGTGTATAGAACGCACTCTGATGCCACCAAACACTGCAAAAGAGAAGGTAAACTTTCTCACAAGCTGTCCCAAGCTTTAAATACAAAATTACACTGTTCTTCACCTGTGCTGCCCAGTCCATCCCTGCAAGTGTGCTGACTTCTGCAACTATATGAAATCTTCAGCTGCTGAGCATTAAAGACAGCAATGATGAAAAGAAAATTACCTTGTTGAGATTACGAGCTTAAACCCCGGATTCTGCACACAGAGCAAACCTGTTTCCAGAGACCCTGCCCCTTTTTATGAGACTCACCCTAAAATCTGAATCTGGTGTTACCGCAAAGCTCCAAGATTTTAATTTACGGTACGTAGAGTCATATACTTTTTCATAAAATGGAAGTTTTATAATGAAATTCTTTGGTATGGAACTGTAATTTTTTTGTCTCATAAAATGAGTTTCTGATTTTTTTAAAAGAATATATGATTCTCTACAGTTGCAGTCTGTTAAAGATTAAAATAAATGCACATTTTAAAAATATAACTAAAAATAAAGATATATTCCTACCAGCACGTTTCTCTGGACTATTTGTGTCTGTCTGTCATTTATCAAACTGTTAAAATACTGTTATGCTCTGGAAAATAGTCTGATAAATGAGATGCCCATCTCCATGATAGCAAAAGTTATCTTGTCTTCTCCTAAGACTGGCTGCAAACTAAGGCACGTGTAAATATTCTTTTAAATTAATTAAAATACAAATACTCTGCTTAAAGGATTGGAGATTACTTATGTAATGAAGAAAGTTCATGTAATGAAGATATTAGACTATCTTTGGCTTCAGTCAATTTTAACAAATCTAAAATTATGCCGAGTCACCAAAAAGTTGCCCAGATGTTACAAGATCACACACTAATCACTTTAGAAGTGAACAAAACCGAATTTTTGTTAGCTAATGATATACACTAGTCACACAGTTTGTTTGTAAAACAATCTACTCATATAGCACAAAGGTGCAAAAAGTTATTAAAATCTAGAAAGAGTAAAGGCAAAGCATATACCTCTACTTTTTTTGTGCAGGGCTTTACAACTATAATTTGTAAGCGAATTATTTTATTTCAAATTAAATAATATATTTCCAAGAAGCAAAAGTGACCGACAATCTCTGAGGTCTTTAAGATCTGATCATGTCATCTCACAAAACAACTGGTTTCCTTTGTTCTTTGTTTTTTGCTCTGCATCTGCATTAACATGGCTGCTAATTATATTATCCTGGTGGCACATAACGCAGGACTGGGGGAATCACATGATACCTATAAAGCATAAAATACTCCTTAAGCTTCCTATGTACCCTTGCTGCTTGGGCGGGCTCTGGACTACGGCTACCTCTATTTTGTGAAACAATTTAGCTATGAGTCAGATGTGTTTCCTCAGTGATTTAGCACTTTTCTAACACATTGTTTCATGTATGGGTGTGCACACACAAAGAAACTTCAAGCTTTATCATGCAACTTTCTGTATTTAGCTTCCCCACTGGTATATTTCAGTTTTTTCTGACATGGTCTAAGTTGTTCATCTTCTTTTTCATCACACAAAATGCTATTTGTTCAGATACACACATTTCCCTCCTACAGTAATAAGACTCAATGACATCAATGATTAAAAGTTAGATCATGGTCTAAAATTTTTAAATTGAAAAGAGCATAAGAATGCTCTACCTGCCCGCTCCTTCTGTTTTATGCTTCACACTGTGAATCAGCAAATGTAATCTTTTCTGAATCATATATAAAATATGAAAGCTTTAAAAAACATTTATATATGTGGACTATTTGTCTACATGGGTGATTTAATAAAGTAAACAACTTCATTATTCTAATTAGCTTTATCAACAAGAGCAAAAAAATACTCTATTGAAAAACTTATATGAGTCTGTAGCATATAAAAACAAACTAATTTACACATCCTTGAGCGAATGTAAGGTTTTTGATGTTCCATTGACAGGTCCGTCTTCTTTTGCTTATGACTAAGTGGACAAGTGCATCACACACAGATCAAAATACATCCCATCACATAACTTTTCTGGAGAAGAAAGCATCTGAGTCAAAATGCAACAAAACCGCTTCAACTCAACACTGTATTCGACCAAACAACAGAGAGACTCTGAGCTTCAGAACAGTGAGGCCAACTTGAAGAATTCTCCCGTGAGATTCAGCGGCGTATCTTTCTTCTTTCAAACGCTTTCTACTGACGGACTTCCAAACAAACATCTCCTTGTGCCTTGGAGTCCTCTCTGCCTTTAGGGAACAACTGGTAAGCTCTGGGGACGACTACTCCGATTAATCTATACTTCCTAAGGAGAGCTATTCGATGACAGGTGCACAAGAACCGCCTACCGAATTAACCCCTTCGTGGTGGTACAAGTTTCAGCGCCACCCTCTCCTTGGCCCTTCCTCCCCTCGCCCTGAGGGAACTGGAATTCGGACACCTGCCGTTTTCCATGACTGGATGCTTGCCTCTCTGCAACTGTACAACATTCCTCAAAAAGTACTCACCATTCTCCATCCTATCGGATCAGAGCACGGGGTCTATTTCAGGAGCGACACCGCGCACAATGTAACGCAGAGTATTTTTTCCTGGCTTTGCGCGTAATGATTGTGATTTAAAGGTTGCCGCTTCGGTCTCTGGCAACCGTTTCTGAGTTGCTGCAAGTGTTTCTCTTCGCCTACATACTTTTAAAACTCAAGGTGGCTTCTACATCAGACTGCTGCAAGCAAACCGTTTGCCCTACATAGTGGTCTACGGACCGGCATAAGTCACACAATACATTCCTAGAAAAATACCACAGGTCCAAGCAGAAACAAAGGCGGGCACGAAGTAGGCAGAGCAGAAGTCAGGGACCCGGCTGGGCTCGCACCTGTGTGGTAACATGCATGTGAGCGTCACGGCGCGCGGATGGGAACGCAAAGCGCAGGAGCCCGGGGCGCGTCCAGCCGGGCTCAAAGAGATCCCAGACAGCAAGTTGAACCCGCAGCGGCCGGACTGTGTGGGGAGCGGGGTGTCGGGGGCGAAGGGCCGACCTCGCCCGCGGCGCCCCGGCGCGCGCCCCCAGGCCGGCTGCAGCACGGCTCCCGCGGTCGCCTCCTCCCCAGTGTCTTCCGCCCTCCTCCCGCGGACCCTCGGCAGCACAGCCCCGGCCACCGTGGCCGAGGCGCGGCGGCGAGGCGCGGACCCGCGCGCCACTTACCAGTTGCATGCCGCAGACGGAGATCAGCGTGCACCTGCCGCTGCAGTAACCCATGGTTTCCGAGACCCCTGCCTCAGCCGCCTGTCCCGCGTCGGCCACCGTCGAGCCCCCTCTCTATCCAATCAGCGCGCGGGACCGGCGCGGCGAACCTGGCTGGCGAGGGCGGCGGGCGGCGGGAGGCGGGGAGCGGCATTAGGACCCGCGGGCGGCGGGCCAGCCGCGCACACCTCCGCGGCTGCGAGGCCGGGGACGGGCGGCGGGCGGTGGGCAGCG